GCAAAGGCTACAGCAAAATGATCATTCTGGCAAAGTTAAATATAATGAGATCTAAACATTATTTTCCTTGTAAATAAAGCATGACAGCTCTGCTTGATATAATTATCACTTCCTAGTAGTGAATGATAAACTGGTAATAAAAGCCTAGGATCAGATAATCACAGATGAAAAATCCCAATGGAAACTATAAGGGAGAAATCTGTAGTGTAAGAAATGTGTTCCTTTAACTGGAGTACTCTTAAAACAGATGTTCTTATAAATGGGTTGACTGTACTTGCATTCCAAGCATGAACACTAAAGAACATAAGAGTGGCCTTACTAGGTCAGACAAATAGTCCATCTAGCCCAGGTCTGACAGTGGCTGGTGCCAGATGCTTCAGAGGGAATGAACAGAACAGAGCAATTACTGAGTGATCCATCCCCTGTCATCTAGTCCCAGCTTCTGGTTGTCAGAGGTTCAGGGACACCCAGAGAATGGGGTTGCATCTCTGACCATTTTGGCTAATAGGCACTGACAGACCTACCCTCCATGAACTTAGGTAATTCTCTTTTGAAACCAGTTATACTTTTGGCCTTCAGAACATCCTTTGGCAATCAGTTCCACAGGCTGACTGCATTGCGTGAAGAAATACTTCCTTATGTTTGTTTTAAGCCTGCTGCCTGTTAATTTCATTGGGTGACCTGTTTGCATTATGTGAAGGAGTAAATACTTCCTTATTTGCTTTCTCCACACCATTCATGATTTTAGACTTATATCATATCTGCTCTTAGTCATCTCTTTCTTAAGATCAACAGTCCCAGTCTTTGTAATCCTTCTTCATATGGAAGCTGTTCCATACACTTAATCATTTTTGCTGCCCTTCTCTGTACTTTTGCCAATTCTAATATAGCTTTATTGAGACGGGGAGACCAGAACTGCATGCAGTATGCAAGGTGTGGGTGTACCATGGATTTATATAGTAGCTTTATAATATTTTCCATCTTATCTATCCCCTTCCTAACGGTTTCTAACATTGTTAGCTTTAATTGCTGCTGCACATTGAGATTTTTTCAGAGTGGAAACAATTTAGACACCCGTCCATTTGTATGTGTAGTTGAGATTTTGTTTTTCAATGTGCATTACTTTGCACTCACCATAATTGAATTTCATCTGCCATTTTGTTGCCCAGTCACCCAGTTTAATAAGACCCTTTGTAACTCTTTGC